AAAAAAAAAAAAAAAAAAAAAAAAAAAAAAAAAAAAAAAAAAAAAAAAAAAAAAACATAATTCTAGATTCGATATCTCCCCACAGGTGACGTGTTATTCGGTAAATCGATATTACCTCTCGCGCCAAGTCACCTCCTCCATGCTCGATTGAACAATGCAGTATACAGAGAGCTATAAAGAAGAAGAAAAACGAGGGAGCGTCGATCAAGTAGTTGCTGTTTTTCTTTTTAGCTTATCCGATGCACTTTTTGCTTACGTTTTCGTGTCGAGATAAGTTGTGCGCTTCTCTTGAAACGTTACATCAATCGCCGTACTTAACAATTACTCATCGTTTGAAGATGTGCAGGCCGCGTGGTGTTTTTTTAACATGCCGATTCTTTCATCAATGACGTGGCAATTACATTTTTCAGTCACGACCAAACCACGCGAGATACATTTACGCCAAATATTAGCATATATACTGCCTCGTATTTTTACATACATTTTAGGCATGAAAATCAGTCAGATAACGAGAGCCAAACATTTGCGATTGCGTATTCCCGACTCACCCGTGTAATTGATTAATCGTTATCGAATGTGAGGCGCGTAGCAATTTACATCTCGCATTTGATACAACATACGTGTACCTATAAATATACTAAGTGTGTATCTTAAATCTCCACGCGCAAGGTTTTTCTCAAACAGCCGGGCAGCTTTTTACCCCTCGGTGGGAGGGAAAAGTTACGGCATACAGGCGGGCGTACAGTCGCTACGTCGATTCACGGGTGTTTGATTAATACGCTAATAGTATGGACGCGAGAAGAGCTGGTCGCGTGTGCGTGGGAGTGACGTCAGCTCCAGCCAAGGCCTATATTTGCGTGTTGGCTTTCACGTGAATTTTTGTATATAGGTATATGTAGGCGATGCGCGACCGCGCCTATACACAATCGTATATTATATATAACGCGTGTACTCCGTAAACGGAGTGCATGGGTCTCTCAATTTTATTTGGTCCATGTAGATGGATAAAGCTGTTACTTCGATGAATAATTTATAACTAACAATACAGGCCATAGTTGTCACAACTATGCTTACCTATACTTACGATTTGAGTATATAATATTACCAATTGGCAGATTATTCACAACTTGTGTATCGTCTCTATCGTACGAGTGTTGTAATATCCCCGCTGTGTGGGTGCACACAATGCTGTAGAAACAAACTTTTGTACTTGTGAAAAAAAAAAAAAAAAAAAAAAGGAAAAACCATTCTCCATCGTTAATGAGTTACGTGGCGGGTATTTGTCGAAGAACAGGTGTACCGATATTGTGTGTTTGGTCAAATTTGTGAGACACTATATATATTATGTATTACTTATATTTTCGTGCTCCAACTGTTGGAGTAGCTTAGCGATGAGTCACAACGATCTTGTTGGCGCGAGTTCTCACACTATGGTATACACGTGCAAATGTAATCGGTTGTCGTATATATACGTGTGCTCGGCTCACGTTTTGCAGAAAGGAAACTATTTAAATTCCAAGCTTTACGTGTAATTTAGTAACTTTTTTTCATAAATATATACTTATGACCGTTTGAGTGTAAACGCGAATGTCTCGACAAGTGTGCAGCTTGACGCTCGCATGTAAGCGCGTATATGTTTTTGTTATTAAAGTGGATAAGTTAGGAATTAAATAAAAAAAAAAAAAAGGGAATCTATACTAAACGAAGTCTTTGTTCTTTATTTTGTGTTTCAGTGATCCGGCTGCACTGCGAGTCCGAGTCCTTCAAAATGGACCTTATCTTGGACATCAACAGCTGGCTGTATCCGATGGAATTGGGTGAGTTGCGTGTGTTTCGTTGTCTCCCGATGATGTAGACACTCTATGTCTTTTGTTGCACGTGACACTTTCATTATGCAAGCACCCATCTCGAACTGACTAGCACATATTTTTTTTTTTTTTTTTTTTTTTTTTTTTTTTTTTTTTTTTTTTAAGAAAAAAATACGAGCTTGATGACGTCGTCGCCGGCTACGTATTATTGTGCACATCACAGTGTGCGATTATGAAAAAATATGTGCTCGGATAGAATGTAATTCGAGTAACCGGTTCGACGTAAAATTCGATTTTTCTTCTTCCTATACCATGACAGCTAACACCCACGCAGCTCACGTCAAACGAGTCCCTCTCTCGCGCGCAAAATAGCAGATATCAGCGGAGAGTAAGTATTATCCATGAGGTGTAGCCTAGGTCTTGCACATTTTCACACTTGCGAGACTGCGCACACGTAACATCGTAACCATCGTAAAGTTGCTCACGTGGACCGTTACCGTAAAGCAATTATAGTAATACAGATCTCCAGCGTGTTTTTTTCGTAGGCGTCCCTCGTTAATTTTATCATCTGAAAAATATTTGCCGCGCTCGGCCGGCGGTGTGTAAATATTGTCATTCCCGAGGGGGAAATAAAAAGAAACGCGCGCTTGTTGTTTTCTCCCTCCATATGCTGATTAGGTTTCCCTCCCCCCTTCTCGCAGCCTTGAGATATTCGAGCACGCGCACGAGTCTTTTTGTCAATGGAGACCACGAAAGACTATAATACATCCCAGGTGCTAGGTGGTTTTTTTTTTATCACTTGCTTATTGTTTTTAGTGCAGATAAGAGTCGTGTGACTCATGAATTTACCGACACGTGCGTGTTTAGGAGCTCATCGATACGACTCGACAATAACCCGTGTAAGTTTTTTCGTTTACGATGTGTTGGTGGGGTTTTTTTTTTTTTTTTTTTTTTTTTTCAATTACATTTTCATCGTAAGACGCTCGTAAAACGTATCGAAGTTAGGGCACTCGAGTCGGCCCCGGAATTTCCTAAACTTGTCCGCATCTCAAGTGTACCTAAGTACTTTCCAGCTTTGGTAATTGAATACACGAGCTCGAAATTCATTATTCAAATGGCAACTACGTGAGTTTTTCCATGTATAGGCTCGAGACGAGCTGTCGGTGGGTATTGAGTGATGATGATTTTTGAAAAATTGAGCACGCGTCTGTCGTAAAAACGATCGTGACAATAATACTCGGAGGACGACGAAATAACCGAGGGGCTCGAAGCAAGCTTGTTTTGACTTTCTCTCCGTGAGGATGAGTCAGCGGTGTAATACACGGTATAGGTTTGTTTTTCCCTTCGAAGGGAGTAAATCACAACACGGTGATATCTATACTTGCTGCCCGACCGAATGCTTCCGGCAACACTGCTTTGGTGAATTTGTGCTATTTCACGCGACGTGATTTTTTTTTTTTTTTTTATTGTGTTTTTTTTGCTGTGTTTCGAGAAAAAAAGCTCAGGGAAAAATTGGAGACTCGTGACGGACGTAAAAGAGCCTTTTGTTTTTACTATCGATTGTCTAGAATTCATTTCCCAGAAAAATTATGTTGCCGGCAGTAAAGCCAGTTTAGTTGGCGTAGGTCGATAAAGCAGAGCAAGTGTACTCTTCGTGACGAGAATCTAGCAAAAAAAAAAAAAAAAGTAGGTACATGCTCTTCTGTCCCTTATATATTATATAAATTTTTTTTCAGTTTGATATGTATACATACATTCGGTGAAAATAAAAAAAATAGTTCAGCGTCTTTTTTTATTGTAATTTTCCGTTGTATCCGTTCAACGTCTGCGTGTATAAATTATCGACTTGAAAAAAAAAAAAAAAAAAAACACAACTCTGCAGCAAATCCATTATTCAAAGAGCAAGAGCTTACAAAAGTATAGCCTAATATAGTCATTCGAGAATGAAAGAGAAAAAAAAAATGTAAAGAAAATTTAATTTCAATAAACGACCCGCTATGGAAAACTAAAAAAAAAAAAAACTTGGTCAGAGAGTAGTCGGCAATATCGTATCAGCTATACTATCGCTCGGTAGGAATTGAGCTAGATATATAGAAAGGAAAAGCCCCCAAGGTCAGTCCGTCATGCTCATCCAGCGAGCTTTTTATGTGTGTATACATATACATATATATACACGCTGAGGGTATGTTTATATATACATCGACATTGCGCTCCGCAAGCTCGCTCTCTAAACGTGTGCATGTATCTATCGAGGCTGCGTTTGTTTGTTCTAGGTGGATAACAACACATATTATAATTACTACACTTTTTTTTTTATCGTTACTCGTGACGATTGCTCGTGTATTATACGAGTAGGTGCATTTGTTACATACGGTAAAAAGCACACGCGTAGTTCTACATTTTGTTAGTGTAGAAATTGATGTCTTTCCTCAAAAGCTTCTTAATCACGAGGAATCAATTATAAATGAAACTTTGGAAATTTGATAATCGACGCTCGCGTTCGTTTTGCTGATTTCGAAACACACGCAGTCGTGCGTTACATCAAGAGTCGAAGGAATGAAAAAAAAAAAAAAAAAAAAAAAAAAAAAAAATCNTTGTGCGAGTGTCTGTTTTACCGCTCCTTAGTTGTTAACCATAAACTAGCAGACCAAGCAGGTCATAAGTATAATATAATCATAAAAGCATACATTAAAAAAAAAAAAAAAAAAAAAAAAAAAAAAAAAACTTTGCGTGCTTACAGTCGACTCTGGTACGTTCTACAACGTAAAATAATAACACGTATAGGTAATGAGCGAAAAAAAATCGCCGAGCACTACTTTGCAAAGCGACTTTGTAAGGTTAAACAAACGCAATATACGAGCGAGTGAGTGTGTGTATACGTACGGAGGGAGATACAGAGAGTTGTGCGCGCGTGCGAGAGGGGTACAAGGAGAAGCTTCCTCCTCCTGTACAACGTATAGTATAGATAGGTATAATAATAATAACAATGGAATCCATATCGTCCATCTCTCTCTAGCTTATGGAGCACCGGCAGCTGTATTGACGCGCGAGCCCGGTAAACCATCAAGATATTATATGTATATAATAAAGCGAGATAGAGCAACCATTCAAAAGAGCTGGAGGGGAGAGGGAGAGCCAGAGAGTGGGGGGATATGTACGATCCAGAGAGTGGGGAGGTGGTGTGTATACCTACGAGAGGTATTACATGTACAAGTATAGTAGAGGAGAGGAGATACACTTGTGTGTACATATTACCTATACGTAAAGAGGAGGAAGAGAGGGAGCGAGAGTTTGCGCGAGATGACGCAATAGGGGGCCGGCCCCACCATCTCTACCAGGCAGCTGCCGGTGAGCAGCGGGTGCCCATCATCGGCCGCGCTTACCATGTATACATGTATATGTACTGCGTTACCTCCTCCGCGCCCCGGCCTTCGTCGTGGACAGCCACCAAGTTCAATGCCAAGGTCACACAAGCCGCTGCTTCTGCTGCCGCTCGCTCTTTCCGCGCTAGCTGCTCGCGGGACTACTCGCTCGTCCGGTCGCCCAACCGGCTGGCTCTTCTCTCTCCCTGTGTGCACGCGTATTAATCACACGTTTTTTTTTCTCATCCCCCTTCTTCACTCTCTCTCTCTCTCTCCGTTCCTCCTTAATTATTGATATATGCGCGTGACTTTCACCATGAGTCACCCCATACGTTCCCTCAACCCTACCCCCACAGTCGGTGTGCACCGTGCACGTAGTTACATTACCTTACCGTCGGAAAGAAAGTGTTGTCCATCCGCCAACACTCGCTGGTCCTTCTCCCTTCTTCTTCTTCTTCTTCTCCGGTGACTCGGGCATTCCCTTGGGTCGTATAGTCTCTCCATATACTCCTTCCTTGGTTGTCCCCCTCCTCCGTGCCACTTGTGTAGAGAAAGAGCCACGGCTTGGAAAAATATTTTCTCGCTGCACCGTTGCGCAGTTTTCACGCTCCTTTTCCGGCCCACGTATACGCGTACGTGCGCGCGTCCACGCTGTCAATAGACAGTCCACGGGGCAAATAATGTACACGCCGTGCGAGGACAATTACATCCCCGTGGAATGACAACGAACACTAAAGTGTGACCATCATGTACATATACAAAAATTTTGTTCGGTTGTAAGTCGCTGATGTTGTTTATCCGTAAACGTGTCGGAGTGAAAGAAAACTACCCGGTGCTGCGCGCGGCCATGTCGATTGCCATTGGAATTAACGTGTAAGTATAGCATTTTTATCGACTTACGTATTTATTTACGTGTAAGTAGTACTTTTAACGCGGTGTGTGGTTGAGTATGTAACTGCGTCGTGCAATATGCGTTGTGTGTGGCATTGTCCAACTGCGTCGCGGATTTTTGTTTTCCTCTCTTGCCTCCATAAGTATTTTTCAGCTCGACCTAAAACACTACATCCAGCCCGACTTTATACAGTTTTGGATCTACGTCATATCTACGTAATGTATATCGTTGAATACGTGGCAAAACTGGCATTCCTATCCAATCACGTTGTTATTTTCCGCTATTCGTGTACATATACATACACACACATTATATAATACAATTAATAAGCTCCGTCCGCGTGTGCCTCCATTATTCCACTCGTCATCGCACGAATGCGCATTTTTGCGACTATTATAGCCCGTAAGCTATTTTAAATTATCACAACAAACGTTGGACAACCAATGGATAAACTACACGTTTTTCCAAACAAATTTTACCATTACTCAAGCGATTACAACGCATTTGCTTACATAAACACGCGTCAAAAAGTGTCGTGAATCATCTTTATTGAAATGAACCCCTATTATTAGCGAAGCAGCAGAAGCTCGTTGGTTTTAGAATTTCCTTAAATTTTTTTTTTCCCCAACTTGAAACATCGGACTCGAAAGCTCCAACAGATACGCACCAACTATACTTTTGTACCGGTAAATGACAAATTAAAAACAAATTACGCGTTTACGCGAACGCTTTTCTTGTTTTATCGCTATACTTTTCAGCCGATTAATTAAAAAAAAAAACATTCACAATTAATCGGTTAAAAGAAAGTGTAGTCGATAAAAACTAGCAACGCATCAACTCGTGATGTAACCCGCGATGTATGTAGGAAGGAAAAGGGAAACAAAACGAAAAATTATGGGTTTCGCGTTTGTGACTACAAAAGTACACCTGTTGTATATAACATACATCGATGGAGCGTGTCCAAGGCCGACGTAGGAAAAGGTACCCCCGTAAATATTGAGTCCTCAACCTTTGTATCAGTTGCTACGTGACATTTATGTTTTTCCCCGCATTTATCTCTTGAAAATAGAGCGAAGCGCTACGTTTGGCTAGTTCCAATATTTCATGTGCACACACCCGTGCAGGTAGACCGTCCGAAACCCATTCAAATACCCAGTGTTCGGATAATTTATTTGAAGATTTGCTCGACCGCGCGGTTCGATAAACGCGCGCGTGCGCGACATCGGCGGTCGCAGCAGCAGCGAGATAACATAACAGCGCGGTGTGTGGTGTACATTATATATACGTATACCTAGTACAGATAAGTAAAGGAGTCGTAAATTTCCACTGTGTGTGTGGGTGTGTGTACACTCACACACATGTACATGCGAAGAGAAAAAGAAACAAGGTAGTGTGTGATATTCAGTAAGTGCTTGTACCCGCGTGTGAGTGTGTGTGTAGGTGTATAGCGCGCGTGTGTCATCTTTAAGAACGCGAGCACAAGTTCACGTAACCCAAGGTCGTGCCGAACTTGAAACTGGAAAATTAGCTCTACTCTCGGGTGCCATGGCATCGGTTTGCGTATATTCTCGCTGCTGAGGCAAATTTTGCGAACGACAGACGCATCCGAGACTCTGTCGATTGTATTTATGCGTCGCGTCAATGTCTTATCGCATACGGAGATCAGGACCGTTTTTTTTTTTTTTTTTTTTTTTTTCCAACGTCTCGTAAAAAAAAGTCGAGTGGAGGGACTAAAAAAAGCTACACACTTTTTCCTGTATCTTCCGTAACTATATGCGATTGATAATCGCTGTATACGCCTCGTCACAGTTACTGATCGATAAGTTATGACAAAAATTACTACGTTTATCAAAGAAAAAACGTAGGTATAATCTCTCTCTCTCTCTACCAAGAATTTTATCCACCACTATCGACACTTTTCTCCATGTATATATTGTGCAAACTCACCTATAGTCGAAAAAAAATTGTAAATGAGTGAACAAAAAGAAAAATGGCAACTCAGTATCGTACTTTTTCACTAAACCGAATTTTCCCCTCGACCCTCCGAGCGAGAGATAATAAACGCGTGTAGCGATACCACGCACAGGCCCGTATAATATGATGAAACCTATTTGCGTTCCGTTGAAATCCAAAGCGCGTGCCGATGAGAAAAACAAAACGAAGTAAAATATAAATACATGGTATAGAGACCCGTCGTCCGATCACGTAATCGTTGTGTATAGCGAAACGAAAATACTGTGTACATACACATACAAGAGAAGCGAAAATTTGTATTGTATTTTTTTTTTTTTCCTCTTTGCAGGTGACAAATTCCGATTGGTGTTGGCCACGACGCTGCGCGAGGACGGATACCCCGATGGAGGTGACTGGAATGCCACGGAAGTCGAGGGCGGCTCCAGGGCGAATTCCTTCGAGTACGTCATGTCTGGAAAGGTGTACAGGATCGAGGGAGACGAGGCCAACAACGAGCCGAGCAGTCGACTGTGAGTAGTACTTTTTTTCCCCTTTCTCTATTCGTCCTTTTTTTTTCTTCTCCTCTTGATGGGTTATTTGTCGATGTCGTTAGCTGTTTTTACGAGGTTTGTTTACACACGAAAATTTTGTTGTCTATTAAAAACAGGTAGCGACAACGTCAATGTTACGAGCCTTTGGTCGATCATTCATACGCATCAGGTCATCATTGAAAATTCAGTTTATTTGTAGGAAAAAAAAAAAAAAAAAAAAAAATCAATTACGAGACACATTTTTCCGCTTATAGCACCGGTAGGATTGTAAATCCTTAATAGATCGATGCGTCGAAATATTTGTGCATCATAGTTTCAAAGTTTAGTCCAAATATATCCAATAAATCGCGCATTCCTATTTTTCACATTTGCCAGATTCATCAAGTTTTCAAGTCCACGCGATTACCTCGAATCTCATTTTCATTATTTCACCAGTGCATTAATTCTCTCAAGTAAACGAAAGTAATTATCATCAGGTGTAGCAGTTCAAAAACAATAGAAAGATAACAAAAAACACCGCACAATAGCCGAATTCCTGCGGATAGCTGCGAACCGGATTCACGGAGGGTCGAGCAGCGGCGGTTTTTTTTTTTTTTTTTCGGCTCTTTGATAGGTGTTATTCCAGCTCCCCTTCCACCAGCCAACCACTTCCAACGCTTGCCTCATCCGCGTCGTTTGTTTCCATCGCTCGAGTTCTCTAAGCGCCACCGTTGGTACTTTGCACAAACAACGCGCTGAATTTTAATGTCAAATTTTGCCCACTCGAACAAAAGGCAATAAAAAAGAAAAATTAATAACAATAATCATCTGTTACGGCACTCGTGGTTCGACAGGGTTCCAATCGAGCTCAATTAGCACTCGTCCCCCTATCTTAGTATACAACGAGCACAATCTAACGCGCGATTCCGCCTCTGTATAGCCCTCGCGAGCAAAGGAAAAAATACACACCTCGTGCCGTGCACACGCGCGTTGTCGCGTGACGTCAGCGCTCATTTTTATCGTCCCCTCGCTCCGCTGGCTCGTGTGACAATAGCCCGAGTATATATGTGTGTACGTATGTACATGGATATTTCACGCTAAGCGTCTCTCTTACTTACCCATTTCTACTTTGTTCCCCGAGTACAAAGGTGTCATCCTTTCGAAACCCATCGGTGTCTTTTCGAGAGATCCGACATACCCCCGAGTCGACTCTCGGCCATTTGCATCGCGTGCTTGGGCCTCTTTGAACGTGCTCGGGGTACTTACTATCGCGAGTCCCTCGTCACTTTACCTTCGCCGCGGGAGGATTTCTTTCGAATTTCGCTTTCCCCTATCGCATGGGCGCAACGTTACATTCGTGCCCCTGACTCTTCCAAGCGTCTTAATCGACTCGCGACACCCACGTGGATCGTTTGTCGTCTGTGTTTGGATATCCAGTCGATTGCCCCTTTGGCCTTTTACTCGCGGGTATAACTGTACATCAATCGAGCGACACCACAAACGCTGTAGGCAAACAAAAATTAAAAGCTTTTAATGACCCACAATTTGCATGTTTTTTTGCCATCGCGCCTCTATTTTCGGGAGGGATACACTTTGACTGGCCTTTTCATCCACGTGTAATAAAGTTCGCGGGATCTACTCACCGATGACCAATAAAGAGAAAAAAAAAAAAAAAAAGTATATAACCAGGGAGGGAAAAAGCTCGCGTGCAATAAATAGCGCCACCGGAGGCTCTTTCTCAAATTTTACTCCGGCAATAAATCCCCGGGCTATACCGGAGAATCTCGTCCGATGCGCGGGGAAATTCCCGCGGGAATGTGACTCCTCCGTCGAGAGAAATACGACCTTGGGTCCCCAGGGGGGGGGGCAAGGGAAAAAAAGATCGTGACGAATCGTTCGCGCGCTGGTTTTAGCTTCGATGGCTATACACAACGGTAATGAAATTTACTCGCGGCCGTCAATTGCAAAATCGAGCTTTTGCCGTGCAAGCACAACCATCGCGGTATACGTTTGAATGCAAGAGGGAAATTAACGTAGGGCATCGTCGTTGAAGATAATCTTCCGTTTTACATGAGCTCACCTCGAAAAAAAGCAATTGAGGGACGGGTGAAAAGTAAAAAAATTGACGTTTGAAACGACGTCCTCGTTTATGCACACGCCCAAGTACACACAAATGGACGCGGTGAATACGTGAATTTGCGTCTCTCGTGAGCCCACCCTCGTCGGGCTGTTTATCCTCGACAAGAGCAGGGATGCGAAACTGCCCGTCACAAGTGCCACGAGCGCGCGTGAGACACGTAGGGGAGAAGAGCCCTGATGTCGGGGGATCCGCGAGAGAAAGGACAAGACAGTGGTAGTGGAGGATCATCCTGGATTTCGCGTGTATAATTTATGTTATGTAGCTGTGCACTGTTTGTCATGCATGTATTAATACAGGGGCGATGTATTATTACGTTACGTTCGTGGAAAAGAAGGGATCGTGCGCGCATTGTCATGTTAATGGCTGACCACATCGTGTTTCGTGGACGAGGTGTACCCAAGGGACTATTTGAACGTTGCGCTCCGCGGAAAACACGTTTTTTATGCGGATCCACAAATAAATCTACTTTCACCACAGTGGCTTACTCCAATTTACTCTTTCGGTTAAATATACTTTTTTTTTTTAATTATGTATTCAAAGGTAGAGTTAAAAATTAAAAGTTATCCTTGACATTTATCTACTTTGAACTTTGTGCGGGAACAAAAAATTCTGATGTCAAGGACTACGTGAATCTGTCTTTAAATAAATGATACAGAAAAAAGCATAAAGTATATTTAGTTCACCAGTAGAGGAAACCACTACGGATAAAGCAGACCCATCGCGTCTCGTTAAAAGACGATACGTCTATAATTATCTTTATATACGAGTACCTATTGCGTGAATTCTCGTTGGTAGAAAAAAAAAAAAAAAAACACTTTTCGCTCCTAATCGGATTAAAACTCAATTGATATATATTCAAATAAAAAAGAAATCAATGAATTGATGAGAGATATATTTGGGCAAAAAGTTGCGGCCCGAAAGCTAACGTAGGGAGAGAACGTTTCAAAAGCCACATGATAGCTCGTCCAGCACATAAGTACACACGGTGAGCCAGTGGGGTATACGGATACATATATATATATATATTATATAGATAACGGAGAGTGACACACGCGCGCGTTAGCTCGACCTTGAAGGCCTGGCCTTCCGTCCTTTGAGCTTCATCGATCGGTGGTTCCACGCGCGCGCGCGCACTCCCTGGCCCCTATAGCTCGCGGCTTTGTTACCCGTGCTCTCTTTCTCCCTCTCGCGTGCGTGTGTATATATATCGTAAGTATAGCTACAGCACCGGAAATTCGAAGGCGAGCACCTCCCCCCCCCTTCTTGAACCCAACACCCCCTTCCTTTCTTTAGTTTTGCCAGACTTTGCCTTTTTTTTTTTTTTTTTTTTTTTTTATCTCGTAGCTAGAGTATTTCAGTAGGTATGTATAGGCTCCCGTGAGGTTTCGCTCTTTTTGCATTACAACTTTTAGCTAGAGAAGTTTTGGCGAACACAAGATACTTTTATATAGTGGCAGGGCTTCTGTAAATTAGACGATTGTGGTGGTAGACTTTTTACGTGCATTGGGGGGGTCAGAATTTTGGTTTAGTCGAAATTTTTTTTTGTTTTCTTATTATTAATATCAATACTTTTAAACGGTATACCTATACATTAAAAAAAAAAAAAAAAAAAAAAAAGGATCTTTATCAAGTACGTGGTACGTAAGTGCCAACGGTAGTATATTTTAACGAGCGACATGCAAAAAAAACGTTTATTATTCAAATGAAAGCAAAGTTGATACTATTTGGTTCATACAAATATATAAATATATGTATGTACAAAGTGTGCAGATTTTTTTAAAAACTATTTCTGCACGCAAACAGTATAATATGTAGGTGTAAGAATTGCTGTGGTGATTGTAACTTTGTGTATAAATATGACCTAATTTATGTGTAACGTACAAGACGTATCAGTATAAATATAATAATGATGTGTTGTGTATGTAGGTGTTGTTGTTGAAGCAAAACAGTTACACATAGCCAGTAAGAGCAACAACAAAAGCAACTGTGTATAAAATGAAAGTAAGCAACAAAAAAGCAAAAAAAATTTTGGAAGATGTTTTTTTTTCTTTTTTTTTCAAGGTGCGCTCGAGCAGCAGTCGAGAACGAGCGGTCGAGAATACGCGAGAAAGAAAGAAAGAGAGCGAGAAAGCACAAAGTCGCGGCTCACACGAGCGACAGAGCCCCTCCTTGTCTAAAGGAGGTACCTTGCTATAGGGTAAAGCGAGCGATTGGGTTTTTCGCCGACGATGGTGACGACGTCGAGGCGACTCCTGCTGCTTCGTCGTCTTCTTCCTCCTCCTCCTTCTCTTCTTCTTCTTCTCCGCAGGCGATGCTAGAAAGAGAAAACGAGGCGGGAATTGACGGGCGTGCGGTTCGTGCTTGGAGAACAGGGAGCCACTCTGCGTTCACTCGGTAGGTAAAGAAGCGGGTGAACACAGCTGGTGGTATCTCAGTTTTCTGAGGACGCCAGCAACGACGCCGGCTGTGCGGATCTGGCACTTTTTCCGATCACCCATGTACATTGCGTTGCTCTGTTGCGGTCGTGAAGCTGAAACTAGCAAATTTGGGTACCCTTGAAACTAGTACCTTACCAATTCACCAAAATGTAAGAGTCAACCCAAAGTTGAAAATTTGGTATTTTATGGTATACCGTCGCTGCTACGTTCAGCTTCATGTTTCGGTCGAGAGGCATGTATTTTCTCGCCTACAGGTGTATCGATATCACCAGACAAGTGAATTAATTAATAATCAATTTGGGTTGTCGTTAGTTCTTCGATATTAATTTTTATCTTAAATAGCCAATGAACGATACTGTGTACGTGTGCTGTGTGGTAATTGATACTTTCTCTGTTTTTGTATTTATTTTTAATATTATTTT